TCCACTTTTCATCTTTGTTCTCGTTGGCCTCCGTGGAAGCGGCTCTCCTTTCCCATGAGGCGCATGTCCTGATATTGCCAAGTCACACCTGAGAGGGCGAGGCTCCCGACGTTATTAGAGCTCCCGGGTGCCCTGCCTGTGCTGGAGCTTGGACAGCTGCGGAAGGTGGTGTTCTTTCATTTACAGGAGAAAATGCAGAATGGGGCGAGTCACAGTTTCCAAGTGTATCTTCACCACCTTTTACAAACAGGGCCTGAAGTTGGATTCCATGCTTTCCGGCATGTTGATCCCACTATCAGAATTCCTGCAAATGCTGACCATGTTCTTCATGAAGGAGATTTGGGGGTGAAAGCGGGATTGTAATAGCATATTTAACAGCCACTCAGAAACAAAGAAAGGATGATGTATTCTTCCAGTTGTTATATTTTTTTGTTACTTCCCCTGAGTTTTGTCCAGAATGCTTACAGAGTTATTCTTTCAATTGGACATCTCTTTGGGTATCCGAGAAGTGTGCTTGTTTGGAGAGTGGTGGTTTTTAGTGTAGAAATAGGAACAAATGGCTTTCTTCTTTTCCAGATTGGGATCACCCTGCAGCCTGTGGCACTTTACAAGAACGTGTATGCATCGGTGGTGGAGGACATGATTTTAAAGGTGGGTGCCTGTTGGCAGCAGAGGGCCACGCTGTGTCTCCAGGGGCTGAAGCACTGAGGTGCCAGCTGGGCAGGATGGTCTGGGTTCCAGGCAATTTTGGGTAAGGGACAAGGGCAATGAAATGGAACAGAGATAATAAGTATTAAGTTTTTTCGTCTTATTCAGGCTTACTGTGTTTTTCCTTCTGATTTTTGAATGAACTAAATCATAGGTCATCTGAATGTTAAAGCATCCACAAGAGTTTCTGTGCTGTTGGCACTCTAACAATACTTTCTAGTGCCTTTTAAAGCAGACTGAGATGAGAGTGCTCTCATTGCTTTAGGGATGACATAAGCAAGGCCTTGGGTTTTCTCCACTTGTCGTAACAACAGAGAAACAGCCAGAGCTGTCCCACCCCTGGGCGAGAGGCTCATAGACTAGCTTCCTTAGCCTGTCTGATCCTAGCTCCGCAAGCTCCTTTCCTGGTGGGACTTCTCCCATAGCACAGAGAACTCACAAATAGCTCTCAACCTGTTTTCCTTAAAAATGCCATCTGAATAATGAATGTTACCCCCGTTCATAATTTCTCAGAATTATGGCCACCATTTTTCTGACCTGATATTTTTTGTCTATAATTTGGACCTTTATTTTTTCCTTAAGGACTTATGATCTTTAGATACAGTTGTTTCCAAAGTTTTGTGTAGGGGATGGGGTCAGATGTGTCTCTTCTAATAGCAGGCCCATGGCCATCTTCGAGAGTAACCCCATCTTCTCTCGTAGGCCACGGAGCAGCTGGTGAATGACATCCTGAGGCAGGCTTTGGCAGTTGGATACCAGACAGCATCTCACAACAGGTACTAATACCTCCCTAGTCAGGGGTAGTAGGCTGACAGGTTAGATGCCCATGAAGGGGTCTTCCAGTTGGAGATGGAGGGGTCAGTGCTTGGGACATGGGGTCGGCTTGGTCATTTTGAGACTCATGGTTGTAAAAGCTCAGCTCTGCCCAGAGGTCTGTATGTTCCTAGTCACCCCTCCAGACACAGCGTTCATTAGGACTGTTATGCTACAGGGTTGAACAAATACCAGCTCTTTGCAATTAAAGATAATATTGTCCATGATGTATCAGATGTTGGGGTCAAACATTGCATATATTACTTGATTTGTTTTTCATTGGAGAACTCTAAACCACTTTGTAGAAGTCAGGAAACCAGGCTCTGAAAGTTCTGTTGCCTGGCTTTCCCAGCCTTTGTGTGATAGAACCTAGACACCCACTCAGACCTCATTAGCTCTAAAGCCCACCGGCTCACCTCTGCTTTGCTGCCTCCCTAATTATCACTGGTCAGGACTCTGAGTTTTGTCTTTTTCCTAGGCCCCAAGGAATGGCACACAGGTTATTTCTTTGTTCCACATCCTGGCATTCTTTTCAGAGGAAACAAGTACTTTATCCACTTTATCCCAGTATGCTTAAAGCCTGTCATAAGTTTGCAAAATTGTATCAAAAGTGTCTGAGGACATAAAAAGGCTTAAATCAGAGGACTACTAGGTCAGACTTCACGGGATTAGAATATATCAACAGGGGGATCCCTGGGTGGCTCAGCGGTTTAGCACCTGCCTTCGGCCCAGGGCGTGATCCTGGAGTCCCGGGATAGAGTCCCGCGTCAGGCTCCCTGCATGGAGCCTGCTTCTCCCTCTGCCTGTGTCTCTGCCTCTCTCTTTCTGTGCCTCTCATGATTGAATAAATAAATAGAATCCTTTTAAACTAAATACACACACACACACACACATCAACAGAAGACAGCTTTAAGAAAGAAGGAAAAGGAAACAGGAATTCTAAGAATGCTCTTGTCCTGCGTGAAATGCAAGAGTGGGCTGAGCGCCTTCTGTGGCCCCTGCTCACCGCTGTCCTGGCTGCAGAGATAGAGAGTAGCTGGGGTGCTCTTGATAAGAACACTTAACCTCACTGGCCAGACGGAATCGTGGTCCTGCAGTTCTGTAGCCCTTGAACTCAGTCCGGTGAGACTGAATTACGAAAACATTGTGCTGTTTTGCTGTCCAGTTTACTTCCTTTCTCTTTTCTCAATCCTGAGAGTCTTTTTCTTTGTTGTTCAACTGAGTTCTTTTTTTTTTTTTTTTTTTTTTTATTTCAACTGAGTTCTTGAAATCCATCTCATGCCTGTGACTGGGAAGTCAGATCTAAGCCCTAAGAGGCCAGGCCAGTTGTCATCAAAACAAAATAAATTAATGAGGAAGGAGAGCAAGCGAGAGAATGTACCTGGCCACCCCCATGCCAGGTGGCCGAAAGTGTGCCTCAGTCTTGTCCCCATCTAGTAGGCCTGCTTCCAGTAGGCCTGCAGGGGGGGATGGTCCTTTTGATAAATGGATTGATTAAATTATTAAATGCTTGAGAAAACTGCACCTAATATGCTTTGTTTTTGTACAGGATTCCCAAAGAAATTACAGTGAGTAATATTCACCAGGCCATTTGCAACATTCCTTTTCTGGACTTTCTCACAAATAAACACATGGGGATATTGAATGAAGATCAGTGAATGGAATGAAGATGCTCCAAGAAAAGCAGGATTTGAAAATGTATCTGAAGCTTTGAACTGTGACGACTCTTCTCTTTGGGGAAGGAGGTTATTTTCTGTATGCCTCAGAATATTATGGCTACCAAACCATTGCCTCCACCTAATTCACTGTAACACCAGGGTGTTCAGTCTCAAATCAGATCCCTTCAGGACAGAAGTTTGTTTCCTGATTCTAGAGTGAAGCTGTGAGTGGATGTGTGCTCTGTTTGCTCGCATCTGCTCACTCTCTGCAAAGGCTCCAGGAGAGTCTCAGAGCTGGGCCCAGCTATGTGTAGTGAGCAGGTCCTTCTCTGGGTGTCAAGGGGCACCTTGGGCTTGAGTCTCCCTCCAGGAGGCAGAAAATAAGTCTGGCACACTAGCAGTCCACCCATTCTGGGGTTACAGGCAGCTCCAGCAGTTACCCTGCTAACACCTGGAGACAGGCTGGGCTTCCACACTTGGGGTGGCCATGGCATGGGGGACCCAGTTAGCTATAGGAAGCGGTGACGCCTTGCCAAAAATAAGCCTGGGAGCCAGCACACTGCACAGAATTTTTTTTTTTTTTTTTTTTTTCACGGAGCACAGAAATGTTACTACAGCCATGGTCAGAGTATTGTCAAGGGGTAGGCGCATCCCAGCATAGGTCCAGGTTAAGGTTTGACTATAACCAAGAAGCTCTTAAAATGTTAGTAAGAGAACACCCGCAAGTCCCAGGCACCTGGCAGGCTTGTACCAGCTTTGCGTGTGTGCCAGGCAGAGAGCCGGTTCCATGGCATTTGCTGCCGACCCCTTGTTGAATGGCCAGTGGGGAGCAGCGCCTGGGACAGGCCTGCTGGGGTGGTAAGTCCTGTCCGTGGATTTAGTGTCCTGTTCTTTTCCACTCAGCTTTTCCAAAGAAAAGCGTTTCAAGGAAACACTGTGAGTGCCTTAAAGATAGAGAGATGACTGCTGAAGCCACGAGACAGGAAGGTCAGTGCTCAGAAGCAGTGAGAAGAGATTGTGCCCAGACGCAGAGCCCTCTCAGTGGAGTAGGGAACCGAAGGTAGGTTAGCAGTGCCCTGTGCGATGCCCAGTTCCATTACAGACACTCTGTCCTAATCATCCTAACACAGTCTCTGTCAAAGGAAAGCAAAGAATTTATTCTGTTAGGAATCTTCTCGAAGGAAATTTGAAGCCTGTGAATCACACGTACCGAGTCAGCATAATTCAAGTTTTCCTGAGTTCTGTAGACATTTGGGCCAGGAGCAGAAGAGGGCAGGGAGGTGACTGAGAAATCTGCCCTTTTTTATTCAGCATCTGAGGATTGCAAATGCACAAGGAAATCTGTTCGGTAAGGCACTGGGCATGCCCAGGCTTAGTTAAAAAAAAAAAAAAAGTACATAAAGGCTCAGATACTCTACACATTAACTACTGCAAACGAGGTTAGTGGGCAAGTGCATAGATTTATTCAGCGTGGACTGTGACAGATCTACAGGACGGAGGATTTGATCCAAATGAGAACAGAGTGATTTATTACAGGTAGGAAAGCCTAAAGTAATTGTCTTTTTGCAAAAGAAATATTAAATCATTTAACAGTTCCCATATGTGTTAATGTTTCAGATGTATTTGTATCATAATGTGTAACAAAAATCTACAATAAATCTTTTAGTATTTGTGATGGGTTTTTCTGAGTTAGATGCATTACACTTCAGTAGGTTCTTCCTACGGGAGGCCCGGAGGCACCGGGGTGGGGCAGAGGGATGGGTACTTGCGTGTTTACGCTAAGTCTGCCGCTGTTTTCCATAAAGGGTTTGCGGCTATGCAGGATAAAGGATCACTGTTACATAAGAGTCTGAAAAGAAATTTGGAAGATGCACATTAAACCTGGAAATAGCGGTTTCTGACAGCTTGGGGCAGAGAAGCACCTTGGAGCCTCCTCAGAGCCCTGGCAAGGAGGGGACCACTCCTGTCATCTGACAGCAGCATCCTGGTCTATGCTGAGGTCTGGGAAGAGGGGACTCCTGTGACACAGTTTTGCTGGGACCACCTGCTATCAGAATGACTAAAAAAATGAGAGATGCAGAAACATTTCAGAAATGACCACTTTTTACATCTGTCCTTAACAAGAACTCTAGGGGCTTTGAAAGCTTTGGTTCTTTGGAGGCAAGAAGTTCCGCAGGGAAGAGGCATCGTGATAGCGTCCAGGTCCGTAGCTTTCTTGGGACCAGACTCCCATGTCAGCCTTTAAGGAACTAAGGTGTCTGGAGGACAGAGAATAGGGGCGTTACTGAGGCTTCTTTCCCTAATGACTGATGTCACCTCAGCTGGAGACTCCTTCTTAGGACCGAAGCCTGTGTGAACGGGGCGGGCAGAGCTGACCCCACTAATGGGGTGTCTGCAGGGTCAAGGTTCTTTCAAAGGGTGCTTTTTGGAGTTGGACCTGAAATCCTGGTGGTGGTACGGGTGTGAGAGTTCCCATTTGCAGTGGGTTTTTCTGACTTTTGAAGCACCATGGAACACAGAGGCAGGACCCTGGTCTAAATGACTGCGGGTGAGGACTTTCGGGGCTCCCCTCTCTGTGAGCCTCACAGTGCATCCTCAAGGTGGGTCGAGGCGGCCACTAGCAGTGCTGACACAGGTTATAAAATCATTGATACTGAACACTTGCTTTTGGCTGAAATTAGCTAACAGATTGAACTTTTTATTTTTAAAAACATTACTCTGTAGGATTAATACAAAAATGCTTATCATATAGAAACATTAGCAAATACAGTAAGGTGTAAAAAATTTAAAGTTACCCATAGTTCCCCTTCCCAAAGAGAACTACTTTAGTATTCCAATGCATTTTCCCATCTTTGTTTATTTTATATACGTGTGTGATGTGGGTTCATACCGCACTTGAGACTGTTGCCTCAGTTGCTTTGGAAGGGTCACTCCAGTAACATGATGGGCCTTACTAGTGGGAGGAAGTCCCTTCTTCAGAACCCCAGTCTCCTAATAATGAAGCCTGGCAAAGAAGATTATCAAGTTGGGGGTTTTGTGGAAAGCTGTCTGTTCCAGTGCATTCCAGAAAGGTTCTTAGGCATGCAGTATGCCTTGAGAGGCAGGCCCGGTGAGGCACAGGGTGCTCCTGCTGCTATGGTGCCAACGCGGCCGGGAAGGGCAGACCTGTGGTGTCCAGCTGAGGTACAGCCTTTCTGGTCTGCAAGCTCGGGGGAGGGAAGGGTGACAGGGGCAGGGTCTAGGGAGAAGGACTGTGTCTGTGGCATCAGGGGGACCCAAGCTGCAAAGGAGAACAGAGCCGGCTCCATGGGGAAGGAGGAAGGGGGGGCCTGGGCAGGAAAGGACAATTGCCATGTCTGTGCTCTGTTGTCCATTCACTGTACTGAGCAGCACCCTGCCCGTAAACATTAACCGGCTCGGCGAGGGAGGAGGTGGTCTCCTTACTCTGCACATAAGGAAATGGAAGCTGAAACTGCTCACAGGTAGTGAGGAGAGAAGTCAGGATTTGAGCCCAGGATTAGCTTCAAGGATGGACTTTTCAACCTAGGCTCCGGGAGATGCAGAGGGGCAGTGCAGTGCAAGGGGAGGATGGTACGTCCTGTGAATACCGCGCACGCCACCGGTGTGGATGGCGGTCCAAATGGAGAGACCCTGGGATCTGTAAGCCTCCAAGGGACAACCAGGACTAGCCATGACCCGCCAAAGTCCTTATTACCAAGAGGGGATAAAGACGTGCGAGAAGGTGCTCTGGGTTCACAATTAAAGAAATAAGCTAACAAGAAATCGTAACCGTGCATTTTTGCGTTTTAGTAAAATCTGAGATTGTATGGTTAATCTGTTCATTCCCCACAGAATGCACAGCGGCAGGCAGTCTCTTTTCTCTTAGAAACCACTAGCATGCAAACCAATGAAGTCGGAAATAATAGAACCCTTTGTGTAAGCATATGGTTTGGGTTCTGCCTTTAAAATGATTCAGAGCGTTTCCTCTGCTGCGCGGAGGGGCAGGCTGTGCCAGCCCGAGGCAGCCCTTTGAGGGGCCAGCCCAGCTCCTGGTCTCGGGCTGTGAGCCGGGAGGGCGGGCGCTGCTGGCTTAAGTAAATGCCCACCAGCCAGCGCGTGAGGGCGGAGAAGGATGAACATCCAGAGGGAAATCCTTGCGTTTCCTTGCGGAAGACTTCTTAGCTTGAGCCTCTGATCTCGGAGAGGGGCCGAACTCCGAGTGTTTGACCACCTGCTGTGCAAACGGGGCCAGGCTTGTTCCAGGGCCACATAGGCTGGGACTTACCGGGAAAGGAGGCAGCTTTCCAAAGCCGACAGCCGCCTCCTCACAGTGAGCTCCCCGACTGTAAGGGAGAGAGCAGGGTGGGAGTCATCTAGGTGTAGATAACATTTTAAAGTCTTTCAGGGAATGAGGCTAATGCCACTTCGTCCCAAGGAAGCTCCCAATTCTTTGCCAGTGTGTATGGTGTTCCCTTTTAGTTGTCAACTGTAAGGGAAAAAACTGGAATTAGTAATAAAATGTGGGGCTCAGAAACCTACAAGGTAAATGCCATTCATTCACTACTTGAAGCACTCCTCACAGGAAGCCTTTTGTTAAAACATAACGGTTGTCTGGGCCCTAAATTATGTCGTTAAAACGGAAATCCTATGATTGATACTCTTCCTTTTGGAAATGGCATCCTACTCAGCAGCATCATGGGTCACATGCAGGTGATAACCCAAGAGTTCTTCAACCTGAATGCGTGGGGCCATTTGTAGGAACACCCAGGGACAGGCCCTTGGGTTGCCATAGGTTACAAAGTTCTTGTGCAGCCTGGGAAAACAACAAAGTGGACATTAACTGGTTCTTTCAAGCACCTGTTATGTCCCTATTCCTCAGCTCGCACAGACCAATTCAGTTTACCACAGAATTGGTCCTTGGGTTCTTCAGATTTAAAAACTGAAGGGTGGCCAAAAGAGGCAATTAAAAAAAGATCCGAAGCCTTCTGTACACTTCTCGAGGAACAAGAGGCTGGTGGGGGCCCAGAGCTGAGCAGGGTGATGCTGTGTCCATCTGCGCCCCTGCTCTGCACCAGGCCCACAGCCCAGCTGGCAGCCGGGGAGTAGCGGTGCCCACGGTAAACAAGATGGGCCCTCCCCCTCGGACGGAGAGGGCCAGTCCCAGGATCTCACCCCAGTCCCCCAGTGGCTGAGCACTGCTCCATCTTGGCGGCAGTGGGTTCGGTCTCCACTGTGGCCCTCTCCATGGTGGGAGTCACACATTGAGGATCCGGGGAGCTGACGTCTGAAAGATGGCTGAGGGGTTAGGGGTAAACTTCTTCCTCCCCTCAGGAGCCTGGAAAATGAAATGCGGCACCATATCAGTGTGCCTTTCCCACGACTTACCCTCCCCACCACCTCCCACCGCAGCTCCTGGAGGAAAACTCCTGCCTCCTGACCTCTTTGTCCTCTAAGAGTTGAGACCACCTGCCTGGGGGATCTGTGGGGGGGAACATGCAGGGGGCAGGGTCACTGTATTAGGATAAATATGGCACCTGGACCTTCCATTCTGCTTCCTGAAGCCTCCTTTGGGTGGAATCAGGCAGCTGAAGAGTCCCCACCTCCCATCTTTCCTCCTTTATGCCAAGGATGTGGAAGGCTCATTGCTAGTGCTCAGTGGCCAAGGGTAAGATGGGGATTTAGGACGGAAAGGGACATCCTGCTTGCCAGAGGCGCCAGCGCTGGGGAGATGGCCACCCCGCCAGCAGTAGGGGACCATCTGGAAAAAGACTGTTCTCACACTGTCTGCAGCCTGGAGCCCAGCCCCGTGCCTGCAGCACCAGTTTCAGGCTGACCTGGAAGCTGTCCCGGGGGCTGCTGTCCCATCCAGAGCTGTGGGTTGTTATGACTGTGGTGGGTCTCGCCTTTGTGGATCTCGACGGCTTCACTCCGGTCCAGGCCTGGAATTCCTGTCTGGAATAGAGAACACAGTCACCACCCTGCTCAGAGTTCGTCATCCCTCCCGACTCTACAGGGCCACCACCATTGCCCCGTGCTTCCAAGACGTCCTGGCCAGTCTTCACTGCTCACATCCTGCTCTGGATCCAGAGCAAGCACCTGGTACGTGCTGCGCAACGGAAACCAAGTCCCAGCCCTTCTTTAGTGCTCCCACTTTTGTCTCTGGGCCACTTTAAGGGGTCCTAGTCACCCAGAACCAGTGAAGGTTGGTCACCTCCAGGCCAGGTCACTTACATCCACAGAAGGTGCTGGCCAGGACAGTGCCCAGCACAGCAAAGTTCTTCTCTACCTGGTTACAACTGAGAAGGAAAAATAAGGTTCAGTATTGTTTACTTTTTAATAATTTTTTATTAACTCCTACAAAACAGAACAGATTGTAGTGACTGTCTCAACTACAAGCTGGTCTGGCTTTAAACGGCTCCGTGCACACACGTTCCAGCCTGGACGCAGGAGGGAAGGTGGTTGGCTCCCTGGGCAGAAGTGACAAGGCTGGCACAAACTAGCTTCATGTTCTTGAAGTATTTTTTTTTTTTAAGATTCATGTATTTATTTTTAGAGAGAGGGGAGGCAGAGGGGGAGAGAATCTCAAGCAGACTCCAGGCTGAACTCTCTGCTGAGTGGGAGTTCCACCTCACGACCCTGAGATCATGATCTGAGCTGAAATCGAGAATTGGACATTTAACCGACTATGCCACCCAGGTGCCCCCTCGGAGTACATTTTTTGACAAAGACTTATTTCCTCAATTCTTCTGCATAAAAGACCTATTTCTTTTAATTCTTTCAACGCCCCTGCTAGACAGCTCAGGAAGGCAGAGACCTGCTGTGTCCAGGAGCACCTGCCAAGGCAATGTTCTGTAGAAAAGTGTCCAGCTGGCCAAGGGAGCACCCACATGTGGGCTGGATCCATTCTTGTCTCATCCCACCCACAGCACTGGCTGGGTTTCAGGCCCAGAAGTCAACAAAGCTGCCTTTTCTCCTTGGCAGCAGCACAGCTGGGCACCACTGGGCAGGCCTCGTGTGTAGGGAGCAGCTGTGTCTGTCCGTGGTCAGCACTCAGGGGTGCCAGGAGGCGAGCTGGGCCAGGGCCCTACGGATCACTTATGCTTCTGAAGCTGCAAGTTTCCAAAGACCAGCTGCCCGAGCCATCTGCCATTCTGTTTCTCCTGGGGAAGCAGGTCCTCCCCTGGGCGTGCCCTTCTGTCCCCAAACTGAGGTGAGCCCTGGACCTGGCAGCCCAAGCCTGCCGCCCCAGGGCGGCTGCAGGGGTCACAGCACAAAGCGACCAGAGCCAGGAGCTAGAACAATGCCCATAGCTGCTCCTGGAGACCAGTGAGAGGAGACTGCAGTGGGGATGGAGACGAGGCCTCAGACCTAGAATCAGCAGGACCACCCATGACTGCCCAGAAGAGGAGGACAGATTTATGGCTCTGGCAAAGAGGATAATAAAAACACAGGGCAAGCCAATACACCGGGTGCCTCCCCGGCTCTCCTGTCCACCTTGTCTGGGCCTCAGCTGGGCCCTCAGGGCTGCAGTCCCACGGAGGGCCGGGGGCCACCTGTGGCAAGGCCGAGCACCCTCCATCTTCATGGCTTCAAACCCCTTCATTTCTCTGAGCCTCAGCTTCTTCATGAAAAGGGCTACTGATGCATATGCAGGAGGTTATGATGAACCTTGGGGGCCGGGCACAATGGTTTGCCCTGTAACCCACCCAGGAAGGAAAGAGGATGACGACTGGGGAAGGAGGTCTAGAACCTGTGTCAAAGGTGCTAAACAGCACCTAGAGAATACCAGAGGGGAGGCTCTGGGCGCTGCCCAGGAGAGACCCAGGCTGGCGGCAAGAGCAGGATCTGCACCCATCTGGCCAAGCAAGTGAGGCAGGTCAGTTTTCACATGAGGAGTGGAGCTAGCGAGTGGCCACGAGGACTCCGGTATCTCGGCTCCCTGGATCTACTCATTTTGTTTTGTGAATTTCTTCAAACAGTTCGCTCAGATAACATGGATCTTACAAGAAGGAGCCGGAATGGAGTTTTCCTGCATCAAGTGCTAGAGCCGCGAAGTGAGGCATCCTGGAGGTCGGCTGGCATGGATTGGGAGAGCCAAGTTCAGTAGTGGTCCTGGGTTTGGGCCAGAGTTAGGGGTATGGGGACCCAGGGAGTCAAGCTCTGGCTATTTGTTTTACAGATGAGGAAAGGGTCACAGAGGCCCACGTTTAGACCCCAGGACACAAGAGCACCAGTGAATCCCAACTCCTGGCAGTACACTTCCCCCACTGCAGGACACAGCTCAAGAAACGAAGGGATTCGGGGCAGCAACATCTTAGGAGGTGAGGTCTTGGGGAGATAATCTGCAAAGTCCTGAGCCTGGTTTCTGATACTTGCTAAGCAGAGAATAACAACTTGTACCTTCAGCATCACTGGAGATGGGAGACCCAGTGAGACGTTCAAACCCATCATGTGCTCAACGCAAGTGAGGGGCTCCTTCTAAATGGGCCCCGCCTTTGCTTGAACATTACCAGTGAGGAGGAGCTTAGCACCCTGGAGGCCGCTCACCTCGTCATCAGTCCATTGGAATTACTAGAAAGCTCTTCCTTCCTGAGCTGAGGCCATGGGTCCTCCTCCTGGCTTGAAACACTGGTCATGTGAAGGTGCTGCACCACCAGGCCCTTGGGCCCTACAGGCTTCTCTGAAGGGGATTCAGGCCCCTGCAGCTGGCTCCCCGCCAGCGCACAGCAGTCAGAACCGCCCACAGCCCGGCTGGGGCCTGAACTGGGCTCAGTGTGGGCCCTACCCCCTGACCTTGCCTGTGCCTTTTAGCAGCTCAGCTGAGCACGCATCAGCGAACTCGAGACCCAGCCTGCAGCACCCATTCTCCACCAAGGTTCCTGGAAAACTGTGTGCCTGTGAAGGAACCTCTGGGGAGATGGAATGTTCTATGTGTCTTGATGATTATGGGAATCTTACCTTAACAGTGCTTCTAAAAATAATAAATCTGAGGGAGAAAGTTCATACCTTTTTGCCCCTTTAATTCCACAGGTAGGAATTTATAAAGTAATTGATAAGAGCAAAGACAGCTATAAGGATGCTTATCACAGAAATTATTTTCTCTAAAAAATGGTTTAAAGGTAACACCTGTAAACGCTTAAAAAAACCAGTTAAGAGGCTGAAAGTCACTCAGTGCCCTTCCACCCTGGCATCCCCTCCTCCTCCCCACTCTTCCTCCCCCCAAGGGTTCCTATTTGAGCAGATACGGGTACATCAGTACTCCTTTTAAAAACATAAATAGTGGACACACTGTTCTGCATTTTGTTTTCTTTTTTGAGGCCGGTACCCACTCAAGATCTTCCAGATCTTCCACTATCCGTACATCCCAGGCCTCCTAGAATTAACCAGCTGCACTGGGGGGGAGGTGGGGTTGTTTCCATCTCCTACAGAACAAGGTTGCAACATAGCTTCTATTCCTCTGCTCTCGCCCCACATTGAATACTTAGAAGGAAACTCCTGGAAATGGAGTAGTGGATTGAAAGAAGCGTTTTTAATGGTTCCAAATTAGAAACACCCTAAATGTTCAATGACAGATTAATAATTGAACATACATATCCATTTATGGACGAACGTATATCCATCCCTAGGATGAAACACTGCACATCTACTAAGATTCATGTTGCAAAAAAATATCCAGTAACATGCAGACAACTGAAATTGATGGGAAAATGTGTATGGGATCTAAACGTACAAGAATTACAAGTGGGTATGAACTCAAATATGGATTAGAAAGAACTACCAGTTTGGGTGAGTTAAAGGAATTAACTTGTTGTAATTTCCATTTTTTTCTATGGTGAGTTGATACTACTTTCGTACTAAGAAAGAAGCGAGCCCGGGGCAGAGCTGAGGTGGGGGCAGGGAGGACCCACAGATCCGCCCACTCAGGGCGATCCCCAGGGGGCCACCTACTGGGAGCCCTGCTTGGTCCGCAAACGCCTCCACCGAGGGCACCGGGGGCACCGGGGGCACCGAGGGCACCGGGGGCACCAGGGCAAGGGCAGGAGGTCCGGCAGCTGGCCGGCGCGCCCTCCGCGCGGCTAGGCCCACCTGGGGAAGTCCCGCGCAGGCCGCGGCTCGGCGGAGGCAGGGCTTTCCGACGCGGCTGCCGGGGAGGCAGTGGGCTCCGGGTCGGCAGAGGTGCCCGCTCATTCACTCGGAGGACCAACGGGGGCGACCTCCGGGGCCGCCCGCAGCAGTGCGACGGGCGAGGGGTGGGGGCTCCGGGTGCACGGCCTCAGTTTCCCCCTACCACGGGGTACGCCCTCCCCGCGCGCCCCCGCCCGAAGCCTCCTACCTGTACGACGTGGTCACCGCCGCGGCCGCGTCTGCGTCGCCGATGGGGAGCACGTACACACCCCGGCCCGGGGCCGCGGACGGCCTGCCCCTGCGGCCGCCCGCCCCCGCCCCCGCCGCCGCCGCCGCCGCCGCCGCCGCCCCGCGCCCCTGCGGAGCATCCCGGGGCCCCGCGGGCGCCGTCCACACCCCGAAGTCCCGCTGGTACTGAGTGAGCGGCACGTCCCGGCCGGGCTCCCGGGCGCCCGCAGGGGACGGGCCCCTGCGCGAGGCGGCGCCGCCCGGGGCCGGCTCCTCGCTCTCGAGGTCCGAGTGGCCGTGGAGGGTCAGCGGCACCGCCACGTCGGAGCGGTCCAGCTGGTTCCAGCGCCGCGCCAGGCAGCAGAGGCGGCTGATGCAGGGCCACGCCATGCCCGCCCCGGCCCGCCGCTCGGCTCCCCGCGCTCCGGGCCGCGCCGCCCCCGCCCGGCGTCCCCGCCCCCGCGGCCCTCCCCGCGCCGCCGCAGCGCCGCCCCCTGGCCTGGGGGAGGCCTCCGGGGCGGGGGCGGGGGCGGGGGCGGGGGCGGAGACAGCCCGGCTCGGCCCGGCTGCAGGGGCGCGGGGCTGGGGGGGCGGGAGGCGCCCGAAGGCGCCTGGAGGCATTTGCCAGCGTCCCCCTCGAGGGTTTCATAATTTAACCCGAAGTTCCCTTTGATGCTGGCTTCTAACTCGGACCTGGTTTGGCGGAGAGCGAGAGCCCGGGGGCCAGCGCGGGCGCAGTACCCGCCCCCCCCCCCCAGACGCTTGGGCCTCGCAGGGCGCCCGGGGCTGCCGCATTGGCGCTGCGCTGCCCGCGGGCCCCGCAGGCGGGAGCGCGGGGCTGACCGCCCGGGCCCTGCTGCCTGGGAACACGTGTCCGAATCAGCCAGTGAGTCACACTACTTGCCTTCGCGATGCTAAATTTGTAACAACCGATCCAGTTTTCATGGAGAACTGGCATTAGCCCTCGATTGACCTTTCCCTGGGTTCTAAAATCCCTAATTTTAATGCATGGCAACAGAGGAGTTACATTATAAAGCTGCCGATAAATCTTTGGCCGCTGTGTTATAAAAATTCCCTTTCCCCCCTGTACCTTTTTTATTTTTTTTTTTTTGCAGTTTGGGTAATCCGCCACTAAAGGTCAGTTTGTTTAATGCATGACAGGGTTCCCTGGCCACACTCAAGAGACTTCCTGAGTATTTGACACATGCCCTCAATGTGCACTGCAGGCCAACGACTAATTAATTAATCACACTACCGAAATGGCATTAATTACCCAGAGCTCCATCTCCAACATACACTTGGATGGTCTCCAGTCTGCATCTTGGGGGAGAAATCTGCAGTGCAGCCCTGACCAGTCAGGATACTGATTCCTCTCTCAAAGCATCCTCTCTCTTAGCTTCCAGTCATAGCAGAGTGACAGCTGCCCTGGCCAGGCCATGGCCCAGGAAGAGGAGCATGCCGTGAAGACACTAGGAGGTTGCACACCTGCTCTCTCCCTGGGCAGAGCAAGCTGTCATTGTGTGACCTCCGTGCTCCAGGGTCCTGGGTTAGCCACTGAGACATTTGTGACTACAGTACTCCATCCTGCAGGAAAAAGGAAAGAGAGAGAAAAAAAAAAAGTAGCTTTTCTTTTTTATTTCATTCATTAAACAACAAAGAGCACTTACTAGGTGCCTGGAATAATGCTGGGGGACTCAAGAGGTTCAGTGTAGTAAGGCAACAACAGAATTGGATAAAGCAAGTAGGAGGTGGTGAGGCCGGCCCTGTCACCTGTAATGAGGGAAGGTGGTTGGGTAGGGGTGGGAATGCAGGGTGGGAGGTTGGGAGGTCCAGTCAAAGGCATCAGAGGCCAGACCATGGAGAGCCTCAGGGAACCACACTGAATTTAAAAGTTTTTTTCACGGGGGACAATGGGGAATGACCAAAGTGTTTCCAGCACCATGTAGCCATATGAAGATATATAAGGAAATTTTAGAGACCAGCTGGAGAACAGTCTCAACAGTCTAGGTTAGAGACAAGGGGCTGAACTAAGGCACAAGCACTGGGGATGGAAGGGGCACTGGATTCTAGAAATGAGAGTTGAGAAAAGGAAATCTAGAATGGCTCCCAAGTTTCTGGCTTCCGATCAGTGAGACCACTCAGTAAGCCAGGAGTGGTATCTGAAGGGCTTATGGAGTCCTAGCACCTGAAACCATACCTGGCATGCGGTAGATCCATGTACTGGGTACAGAGGTAGTCTGTGGGCCCAGAGCTCAGAGGATGTCCTCATGAAGATAACTAAAACCAGGGAAAGCAGAGTGAGAAGAGGCAGTTGTGGTCCTGGGGGCAACGCACTTGACAGGCCACTAGAGGAGGCATAGCCCGAGAGGTGCACTAGCCAGGCAGAACAGAGGCTTGGGGCGATCACGTGTCAGTAGAGAAGCCACGATGAGAAAACACCCTAGTGGGCAAAGAGTAGTAGGGACGACTGCCAAAGCTACAGACAGTAAGACTCATGCTTCCAGAGCCGGGCTCTGACTCTTCATGAGGCCTCTCATGGGGAGAATGGCACTTGGCTGTTCAAAGGCATCAGCATGGAGGGATGTTATGGACAGAGAAGTGATTTAGGGACTTGACCTTCTAAATGCTCCTTCACTAACCATCACAAAGCAGGAAAATACATGTCCTCATGGCCTATGTCCCTAGTCGGCCCACAGCAAGACATAAATTTCATTTTGGACCCCATACAGAATGTCCATGTGATCTCAGCCTCCCATCCTATCTCTGAGAAATGCTTCCTGCCTCATCTGTGTATTGCAGGGCTGGTGGCATAATATATTCAGAAATGCCAAAGCACAGCAGTGTGACCCTGAGCAGTTCCCATACATGACCATCCTGCTTCCTTACCAGCAAAGAGAGGGCTAGGTTAAAAAACAAAACAAAACGAGTGACATTATAGTTTAGGATAGAATCCTTTCTGCCTAGTAAAAATAAAGTATTTCACACTAGAGAAGAATCTGGGGGGAAAAGTACAAAGAATTGTCAAATTCTAGACAATTCCAATGTGCGGGGACATGCTGCCATTCAGCTCTCACCACTGTGAGGTGGGCACAGCTCACTCCTTTCCATAAAGCTTGACACCTAGCAGGAAATATGGCTGCACTCCTCTCCAGGGGAGGGTGCAAAAACCGGGATTACCTACTGAGGCCACCAAAAGACTAACAAGTCTCCTATAAATCATCTCAACAAACACTACTTTTAAATTCTCAAAATGCATTTCCTAGAAATAATTTTCAATCATGAGGGCAAGAATTCTACTAGAGTGAAGCTGTTCTGATGACCACTGTCTGCTATTTCAGTATGATGCTTCAATTCAAAGAATGCACATTTTCAAATGTAAGATGCAATTAGGCTCAGATTCAAGTCTGAATTTCTCCAAGATATTTCCTTCTAACTCTTAATTTAGCTACAATTTTAATCTAGAAAGCAAAGCCTAAAAATAGCTTTTTGTATATGCCACTCACTGCCAGAAAACATTACCTTTCTTGGGAAAATTTAGAAAATACTACAGCTGTTATTTCAGTCCACGCCAGCCAGAAGATTTTTTTTTTTTTTTACCTGTCAACCAACCAAAGGAAAGGGTAAGTGAGGAAGCAGAGATGCAAGAAGGCCAAAGTACAAAAACAAGCGTCTCTGAGTTTCAATTAGGCCTTTTCCTGTGCACTCCTGCCAAGTTCACTACTCAAACTATGTCAGATATAACACTAATAGCAAGACTCCAGGGCAGCATTAGTGCTCTTCAAAAGGGACACACACCCTCTGTTTACAAACTAGAGATATAAACCTTTATTTCACAACTTTGTCATAATTCACTTTCTGGTAAGACATGTACTGGAGACAGAGTTTAAAATACTGGGAAAACTAGATGCTGAGTGTCTTCCAAGCAGGAGCAAAGATGTGGTCACTCCAGGGCTGATGAGTTCCTGGGACTCTCCAGGCAGCACGGGGCACATGCACCAGTATCATCTGATCCCAGTTCTACTTAGAGCCGCCTCCTTTTTTGGGGCTGTTAGTCCTCATTTCATGCCAAATTTTCACTAGAGGCTCCCTGTTCTTCCAAATGAGTTCATGACCATAAGTAATATACCATCTGGGGAGGAGAAAAACAAACCAGGCTCAACATTCAAACAGTATGACATACAAATGTTAAGTACCATGATGATATCAAATTGACATTTAAAAACTGAATGCCATGGTTATTTACTATCTTGTTTATTAAAATAGCTGATTGATTTATTTGATGTAGATCAATGACTCACTGTTAATATGGAGTGTATGACAGATCAAGAGGAAAAAAAAAAAGGAAGAGAAGAGGGATGGGACTATGTGTAACACACACTACTTTTGTTTTTTTGTTTGTTTGTTTGTTTTTTTCCACACACTACTTTTGATTCACTACTGCAACTGAGCATCACCTCCCCATTACAGACATGAGGAAACCAAGCCTCAGAGAAAGCAATCTTCTCAGGAGCTAACAGCTTCTAAGGACTCACCTGAAGGTCTAGACTGATCCTAAGCCTGGTCCCTCTTCACTACATTAAATGTAAGAAATGTCAGCATTCAAATTCACTAATGATGGCTTCAATAGTTTAAATGCTTCTCGTCATCTTCCACCTGGCTACACAAAGCTATCTGCTGATCCAAATTCTGCCCACCTTTAAAAATATAGTTCCAATCCCTATTCCGCTCTTAAATACTGCCAAAAAGCAGCCTAAAGCAATGAGCTGAGGAAAATGAAGCACCGAGATGTTCAGTAACTTACCTTGCCCAGGCTGCACAACTAGCGATCACCAGAATGGACACTAGAACCTAAATCTGATTCTGAAAGTGGTGCCATAATCACTACTGCTGCATCTAGGGAGAATCTACCGTAAGCTGAGGAACACAAAGTTGAGAGACCACTGAGCAATGCCTGCCTTTAGAAGCCCACAGGCCTAGGTACTGCAAGACCAGGAGCTCTACCTGAGGGAGGCACAGGATGTAAGTATAACTCGGGGGCACCTACCTCTTCCTCTCTTGGGCGAGGGGAAGGCTGTGAGGGCTTCCTGGAGGAGACGGGGTTGTCTGGAATGGCTGTCATTGAAAGCTATGACTGAAACTTTTATTTTTGCCCTCCTTGCCCAAATAGATTTTATGTTCCCTGAGGCAGAGACCAGACTGTGTTAATCTTTGCATCTCTTCAAACACCTGACTGAAAACATGCTCTATTTAAATGGCTTAGATTAGTATCAGAATAGCAATTTAATGTTTCAATTTTTTTTTTAAGATTTATTTATTTATTCATAGAGAGAGAAAGAGGCAGAGACACAGGCAGAGGGATAAGCAGGCTCCATGCGGGGAGCCTGTTGTGGGACTCGATCCCGGGTCTCCAGGATCACACCCCAGGCTGCAGGCAGCACTAAACCGCTGCGCCACCAGGGCTGCCCCTGTTTCAATTTTTTAAAAGATTTTATTTATTCATGAGAGAGAGAGAGAGAGAGAGAGAGAGAGAGAGAGAGAGAGGCAGAGACACAGGCAGAGGGAGAAGCAGGCACTAAACCGCTGAGCCACCCAGGCTGCCCTGTATCAATTTTTTTAATGTTCTGTGTATGTTTATCATAAAGTACTTGTATCTTTTTTTCCCCCAAGTACTTGAATCTTAATATTCACTAAATATATTTTTAAAAAGATCATGAAAATAGTCACCATTAAAATGTTAAAAAAAATCAGTAAATATAGAGAAAGAAAGAGGACACTTAAAGAACATGCAAATTAATAGGCATGTTACAAAATTATTTTGGGCCTAAATCAAATTTTGTGGTGAACTTATTTAGAACAACAGAAAAAGGATCACCTAAGATTCGAATGCAATTGTAAAACTCTTGCAAGAAATGAATCACTTGTCAGGAACTCTCCATTAATGAAGTGTCTTCCCAGATCTTTGTAATACACTTATTTCAAGCAGAAAGTCAACCAGTTTAATATTACAGGTAAACTGTTCTGATCATACTTGGAAGTTCAAATATAATTGGTCATTTGGCTAAATTAAAATTAGGAAAACACTTTAAAATGACCAATTTCTAAGTTTCAGTTTGGTTTTTTTTGCAACAGCTGTATAGCCTAGTGCTCACTCTGAAACTCAGCTCTGCAAGGACTAGCTGTGTGACTTTGAACAGTTCCCTTCTTTAAAGCAGTTTCTAACCTCACAAGATTTAAGAATATTAAATCAGTCCTTAGCTTGGGCACACAGCAAATATTCAAAATATGTTAGCTAGTATTACTGCAAAAGTACAGAGCAAAGACCATAACATCTGATGAGGGAACAGAGTCAAGGCAATGTGCAGGAGAATACTAATATGGTTTTTACCGTGAGTAAGGATTTCTAAATCTTTAACTTTATTAATTGAATTAAAGATGTTATAAAAGATGAATTCTGGATATGACTGAGATCTAGTAAATGAAAGGGGTTGAAATTAGAAGAGCAAAGAAAAAGGATTCCTCTGCCTTTCAGATCCTGCATTTTAAAATACATTTGATCTAATTATTTTCAGAATGGAAAAGGTCATCTAATTATAGTTCAGAAGAATAAAAACCTGCTGAAGAGAAGATCCTTTAAGTATACATGGGAGGATCCAGAGAGATAAATTTAGAGTTCATAAAACAGAATCCTGTTTCCTAAGTCTAGGTTTCTCCTACTGTAATATCAGGTCAGTTTCTACTATTTATAATGTGCTGCTGTTAAAGCCAGAACTCACATACGCAATTCTTTAATCATCACTGAAAATTATAAATGGCATAATGGCATTTAGTTCCACCGCCTACTGGGCAAAACTGCTCCACTTAGAATAGACTTTTCTTCTTCTTTTTTTTTAAATTAAAAAACTTCAGTTTTGCATTGTCATGAAACAAAGTAAAAACCAAGTGAGGGCAAAAAGCAACATTTATGTAGGATAAGTAAGATAGTCCATCAGGGGACCCAGTACATGAGATAGAAATTACTCTGCTGAAGGGACTCTCATGGTCAGATAGGCTCCAGGAGTCCTGAGGAAGTTCTATGATCAAGTCATTCCAATGCTACTACATTTTAGGCAAAAGTCCACTGTCTGACACACAAATGGGAGATCTTGTGAACATTATACTACTATATTCAATATGGTGTGACAGAGGTAGAAAGGACTCTGGATCTGGTTTTAAATCTTTGCTTTGCTCCTAGCTGTCTGACCTGGGAAAGATCACTTTTGAGCCTGTTTCCCATCAGTAAAATGGAAGTAATAATAGTAGAATGGAAACTACTAGCTCAGAGCCTGCCACATAACTGATGCCCAGTTAAGTGGTCAACACTGGTTTTATGATCCCCAGCCTCTACTTGTTCAGGTAGCACACACCTGGACACTTGTCACAGGCAGAGTGTCACTCTGACTGCCCAGTGCTGGTGACAGGGAGGTGAGCAGCAGCAGGACAGAGGAGGCCTGAGCATGAGGAAAGGAGAGGACAACGCACACGGGGGGCTGGCAAACAATAGCCCAAGAGGGGCTAGGAGTTCTGACAGCTCTGGACTTGGGGTGAGTGGAAGTTAAGTGTAGGGTAACGGCATAGTCTCTCTATAAATGACTGAGGCTGGGGCAGGACCTGCTCTTCTCCCTTCCAAGCTCACATGGTGGAACTGGGCAAAGCTGAAAACAACTATGTGGCAGGTTTCTCAACCTCCCACCCCCACTTGCCCCTGCTTTCGTCCAGAGTTAACTGCCTTGTTCTGCCTTCCTAAAGGGTGGGCAGGAAGAGAGGACCAAGGAGGCAGCTTAGCAATTGGTTATACTCAAACTTACATTCCAAAGAGAGCTCCCCCGAGATGTGCTGCATGATCAAAAAATTTCCAGCCCAGGATCATTCCTGCTGTATCCATGGCAATAATGGCTTTTAGGGCCTGAAAGCCAGCAAAAGAGAATAAAACTGGTACAACTTTGATTCCTCCAGCATTGACATTTCTAATTTAAGGGCAAGAATTCAGTCAATGTAAAAATATCACCACTGTCCCCAGCACTTCACTTCATAAAAATACTCACATTCCCTGCCGTGAATGTGAACATTGGAAGGAAGATAATGGCAAGCCTCCCTTCTGGGATCTTTGTGCAGACAGCAGCAAGGACGGTCATGATTGCACCTGACTGCAAACAAACACATGTGAAAATGTGAAACTCTCAATATGCAACTGTTTCATGACTACAACGTCTAATGTAGCAATACTTTTTCCACAAAGTTTATAAGCCATACATTTCTAGGATGAGTACATATCTTAAAAGCCTTTAGTTATTAACGTAGAAAATATCAGGCAAAGGGGCTTCAAGCCCACTGCAGAGTAACCACCTGGAAAGAACGAGGAGATGTGTAACCACTAGCCTGTGAGTACTTCATGAACTTCAGGGACAGTGTTAAGCATGATACATGCATCATTTCATTTAATGACTAAAAAGAAATTCTCAAATTTCCACAAAGCCACTTCACCTAGACTGTGACGTGAATTTGCCCAAAGAAACTCACATGCATAAATTTCTTCCAAGTATAATGTTTTATCTTAAAACAAAAAATACCCTGTGAAACTTATACCCTACTTCATAGTAAAACTAAACTTTTTTTTTTTTAAAGTAGATTTTTATTTATTCATGAGACACAGTGAGAGAGAGGCAGCAGAGGGAGAAGCAGGCTCCATGCCGGTAGCCTAATGTGGAACTCAATCCCAGGACCCCAGGGTCATGACCTGAGCCAAAGGCAGACACTTAACCATGGGCCACCCAGATGCCCCAAACATTTTCTTTAAAACCTTTGAGTACGGATCCCTGGGTGGCGCAGCGGTTTGGCGCCTGCCTTTGGCCCAGGGCACGATCCTGGAGACCCGGGATCAAATCCCACGTCGGGCTCCCGGTGCATGGAGCGTGCTTTTCCCTCTGCCTGTGTCTCTGCCTCTCTCTCTCTCTCTCTGTGACTATCATAAATAAATAAAAGTTTAAAAAAAAAAAACAAAACCTTTGAGTAAGGGAGACCTGGGTGGCTCAGTGGTTGAGCATCTGCCTTAGGCTCAGGGCATGATCCTGGTCTGGGGATCAAGTCCCGCATCGGGCTCCCTGCGAGGATCCTGCTTCTCCCTCTGCCTATGTCTCTGCCTCTCTGGGTCTTTCATGAATAAATGAATAAAATCTTAAAAAACAAACAAACAAACAACTTTTGAGTAAATGTTCTGCTCATGTCCCATGGCTCTACATGACCCACCCGTCACAGCATCCTCCCAGGGACACACATGCATCTGCCTGCCTGAGAAGCACTTCCCCCCAACAACCTCCTACTATTTTAGAGAATAAAAATCTAAATCTCAGGGCACCTGGTTAGCTCAGTTGGTAAATCATGCAAGTCTTGATCTCAGAGTCATGAGTTCAAATCCCACACTGGACCTAGGGCTTACTTAAAAAAGAAAATCTAAATGTCACAACCTTATGATCAAGAAGTCAACCATTTCTTATTATAGTTGAAATTATAATGGCTGTATTTTTTTAAATCACGTTTTTCCAGATTGCTACATAACCTTCATAACTTAAATGTATAATGGCTATGAAGTATCTCCTGGATAAATAATGCTAATTTAAGTCTTAATGTCAGACATGTTCCCACTTCCTCTAAATGGTAAAATACTTGAGAAATTAGATCGTAATCGCTAGTTCACATTAAATCTCATGATAATCATTCAACCAAATACTTGAGGCCTACTTCATACCAGGCACAATGCAAGACGCTGCGAGTATAGAGGAGCACAAAATTAGCAGTCCCTTCCTGAATGGAGCTTACAGAAGCACAGACATAAAAACAAAATGTGATGAGCTAGGATAGTGAACTAGGGCATGCTATAGTGGCATGTGAAAGGAAGAGCTCATTTAAGCTCAGGCTGACGTGACATCAAATTTTGCACGGAAGGGTCACCAGGCATTGGGCAAGTAGAAGGGGAGGAAATGGGAAGAGTGTTCCAGGCAGAAAATCAGCTTAAACCAAGCCTGGATATCAGAGAGGACAGTGAGTGGGAGAAATACAAAGAAGCTGAGTACAGCTGGAGGCCAGGGAGGAGAGCAAAGGGAGGTCAGCGATTTAACTTCATTTGTCTTCTGCCAAAGTTCTCAGTTCTAGTCACTTATTAAAAATAATAAAGCTCCGGGGCACCTGGCTGGCTCAGTTGGTAGAGCATGTGACTCAGTCTCAGGGTGTAGGGTGTAGAGATTACCCAAAAATCTAAATAAATAATAAAACTTCCATGATAGACATTCTACAAAACATGTATCAAGGTCATGAAAGACAAGATCAAGAAAGCACAACAGACTGGAGAATACTAAAAAGATACGATAATTAAATGCAATATAGTATCCTAGAACAATAAAAGAACATCGTGGGAAAATGGGGAATCCAAATATAGTTTGCAGGTTAACAGTGCTCTACCAATGTTAATTTTTTAGTTTGGTAAGTCATGGTTATAACAGCTGTTACCTAATGTACCCCTAATGAGATGTATCCTTCACCCTTATAATAATCACCAGAGCAAAAACTTCGAGCCAGGATAATCCATGGGGTGAGGAGGTTGACAAACAAGAGATCCCGATACTTACATAAATCCCAAAGCATCTTCTCACAGATTATACACTGATTTTAAACAGTAAAAGAAAATAGTAACTTTACAGTAGAGAAACTGGATAACAACCAGTCGATAAATGGACAATTAGGAGCAAATGAGCATTATGTGCTTCTAGTTGTGTTACCCAAGGACAGACCACCATTCATGCAGCATTTCAACCAAAAACACACAATCAGCATCTCATCATGAGGAAATAGACAAACCCAACTGATGGATATTCTATTAAATAACTGGTCCGTATGGTTCAAAACTGTTAATGACATGAGGGGAAAAAAAGGCTGATCAAAAGCAACAAGCAGAACTACATCAAACCCAAAAGCTTCTGCACAGGAAAGAAAACAATCAAAATGAAAAGGTAACCTTCCAAATGGGAGAAAATATTTGCAAATCATATCTAATAAGGGATTAATTTTGAAATATATACAGAACTATAATTCAAAAGCAAAAAAACACAATCCAATTTAAAATGGGCATAAGATCTGCATAGACATTTTTCCAGACTTTTAGATGGCCAGCAGTCACAAACCACAAGGAAATATCACCTCACACCTGTCTGAATGGCTATTGTTAAAACAGCATGGAAGTTCCTCAAAAAATTAAAAACAGAGGGGCATCTGGTAGTGGCTCAAGTAAGCTGGGTGTCTGACTCTTGAATTCAGCCCAGGTCATTATCTCTGGGTTGTGAGATACAGCCCCGTCAGGCTCTATACTCAGCACAGAGTCTACTTGAGATGCTCTCCCTCTCACTCCTTTTGCCCCTCCCTCTGCTCGTGTATTCTCTCAATAAATTAAATCTTTAAAAAAAAAAAAAAGGATGTTTTTTTAAAAATTAAAACCAGGGGATCCCTGGGTGGCGCAGCGGTTTAGCGCCTGCCTTTGGCCTAGGGCACGATCCTGGAGACCCGGGATCGAATCCCACGTCGGGCTCCCGGTGCATGGAGCCTGCTTCTCCCTCTGCCTGTGTCTCTGCCTCTCTCTCTCTCTCTCTCTCTGTGACTATCATAAATAAATAAAAATTTAAAAAAAAAAAAAAATTAAAACCAGAATTATCACATGATCCAGTAATTCCACTCCTGGGTATTCATCTAAAGACACTAACTCGAAAAGGTGTATGCACTCCCATGTTCACAGCATATTTACAATAGCTAAGATCGGGAAACAACCTAAGTGTCCACCAATGGATAGGCAGATAAAGAAAATGTGGTATGTACATATGTGTGTGTACACACACACACACACACACACACACACACAGAAAGAGGAATATTATTCAGCCATTAAAAAGAAGGAAATCTTAGGGCGTCTGGGTGGTTCAATCATTTGGGCATCGGACTCTTGATTTCAGCTTGGGTCATGATCTCAGGGTCATGAGATTAAGCCTGGTGTTGCACTCTGGACTCAGCATGGTATCTGCTTGGGATTCTCTCACTCTCCCTCTGCCTCTGTGCTTCTCCCTGCTTGTGCATGCTCTAAGTAATCATTTAATTATTATAACTTATATATTTATATAGTTTATATATTTATATAATTTAGAGACTATAATCTCTAAACAATCATTTTTTAAAATATTATTTATTTATTTATTTATTTATTTATTTATTCATAAGAGACACAGAGAGAGAGGCAGAGAGATAGGCAGAGGGAGAAGCAGGCTCCCCACAGGGAGCCCAATACAGGACTCGATCCCGGGACTCCAGGATCACCCACTGAGTCAGAGGCAGACACTCAATCACTGAGCTACCCAAGCATCCCTAAATATATACAATCTTAAAATTAAAAAATTTAAAAAGAAGGAAATCTTGCCATTTGTGACACACGAATTGATTTTAAGGGCATTATGGTAAGTGAGATAAGCCAGGGAAAGACAAATACTGTATGATCTCACTTGCATATGAAATCTAAAAACAAAACAAAACAAAACAAAAAGCAAGCTCTTGTATGTAAAAAAGATTGGTGGTTACCAGAGTCAGGGATAGGGAGGGCCAAAATGGGTGAAGAGGGTCAAAAGGTACAAACTTCCAATTATAAAACAGTCATAGGGAAGCAATGTACAGCATGGCAATCATAGTTAATACTACTGTGTTACATATTTGTAAGTTGCTGAGAGAATGTAACTTAAAGGTTCTCATGACAAGGAAAAAATATTTTAACTGTACCCTGTATATGGTAACAGACTTGTTAACCATGTTTAACCAGACTCATTGTGATCACTTTGCAATTTATACAAATATAAAATCATTATGTTGTATGCCCAAAGCTATAATGTTATGTCAATTATACCTCAATTTAAAAATTTTTTAAAAGCTATGGAAGGAAATGTTCCAGCTTTTGGGATACCAGAGAGACATAACCACTAAATGCAATATATGATATTAGAGGGAGAAAAATAGCTACAAAAGACATTACTGGGACAATTTACAAAACTGTAATATGTTCTATAAGTGAAACTAAAGTATTATATCACTTTTAAATTTCCTGAATTTGGGGACGTCTGCGTAG